AAGTGCCTCGTCAATAGATGCCATGGTTGTTGAGTTATTGTCGATTGATGTCGAGAGTGCGGAGTGGCGGTGATCCGGCGTATCACCGGATCCGGCAGATCACCGGGAAATCCCTTATGCCTCTAAGCAGAAAGCGGGTCCTTTGTCTCCACCTCCAAATGTGTCTATGATGGGCCGCCAGTTGCTGCTTGGGAGCTGGTATTCTCAAGGTCAATTCATCGGCTAGACATCATTACCATAGCCTTCGCTCTTCCATTGGCCTGGGCATCTAGATTCTGTGGCACATCAAAAACTGTGCGACACAATCGTCTCATCCAGATCAGAAATCTCCAGAAGCCCGATGAGGGTAGGCTGCGGCAGCGTCTCCCATCCTCTGGAAGCGTTCAAACATGGTCGCCGCCTCGAGGCTCTGGTTGATCTTGGCTCGGTCCCATGCATTTACACGATCCCCCGCAAGCCCTCTCGGGTCAGGATTGCTGGCCTCTCTTTCGAACCACTGCCGACGCTCCCTCTGCTCCCTAGTGGGCCTCTGGTTTCGGTAGGCGGCCTTGACATCCTCCCATCCCCTTGCACCGCCTGAGTCCTCCGCCACGTAGTGTCCGGACCCTTCGAGGCAGACAAAGTCGGGCGTGGGATCGGCGCGTCCCAAGATTGTTAGATGATGATCCCAGTTGTCACCGAAGTCGTAGGTATAGACAATCTGGCGATCTGGTCACGCGTTAGGATAGTGGTCGTAAGGGAGACCTTGCTGACGTATACTTACTTCGGAACTGTGCATCGTCGAATAACTCGAACAGCTTGTACTTGTCGGCCTTCTTCTCTGGAGTGTTGGGATGCCGTCTCATCGGCTCATGCATGCGATCGATGCCGGAGAACATGGTCTGCTTAACCGGGTCGACAACACGAAAGAGATACGCCCTCGGCGCGGAAGCCGGAGGAAGTTGATCCCCCGTCGGACCCATGGCGTAGCGCCTAGTGATGATCTCCATGATGTCATCGGGTTCGCGATAATCTGGGTTCACGACCGCGAAGTCGAACGAGTGCGTGGTGGCCCAGCCAAACGCTGTTTGAAGCGCCAGATGAAGCATGTAGAAGGCGGCGTGCGCGGGGCATGACAAAGTGCGCGTCACCGGCGGGTTCGTAATGCGCTCCGGGGCTAGGTGGAACTTGATGATGTAGTTGGGCCGGACGCAGCCCCCCTTGTGAGAGGGCCAGGCCGCGGACTGACACTCAGGCGAGCAATATGCCGTCCGCCGGCATCTGGAGCACAGCCGGAGGGAGTTGGAGTCCGAGGGCGAGGCCAGCGACGATGTGCAAGCGGCATTGCCGCACTTGTCAATAGGTGCCATCAATCAGACGGGCGGCCCCTCAACCGGAAACTGCGAAGATACAGTTAGCGCTCTCTCGAAAGGCGTCGTCGAGGCCGCAGTGGACGTAGGATGAAGATGCGTGCGTACTTGTGTGGGGGTTCTACCGCCCCCCTGGCTGTGCTTTTAGGGCATGGATCTTAGCCGAGCCCGCACGGGATGACTCCACCAGGTACGGCCGCTATTACCCCAGCATACAAGGATCAGGGTCGCGAAGGGCCGGGTTAGAGTGACCGTACAATCGCCTACTGTACTGTAGCTCGCCGTGCGTAGTGGACTTTGTACACCTCATAAGCTGGGCGGACCCATCATGTATGACATGCCGATGCAGAAACTGTCTACTCAGAACACCGTCGCACGGGCCACCTTGATCTGCCTTGTCCGCTCACTGACGACCAAACATGGATCCTGGGTCCATCATGTGCGACTCCATCCTATCCACGCTCCCCTGCTCCATCGCGACCATCAACTGCCGCATTGCCTTCCCATTTGTCCCACCCGGAGCCCGACCGTACACAGCCTCAGCAAACATGCGAAGCTGCATCGGGAATCTGGAATCCCCATATTGATCGATAATATCGCTCTTCTCCACCGCAGCTCCCAAGTCGTACCATTGTAATGGGTTCATACCCAATGCCTCGCACTCGTCCTTCTTCTTCTCGTCCCACCACGATGGTAGCAGGCCGGGGCAGCGCTCGACGCGCTGCAGGAAGCGCTTGAAGCCACGCAGTCCATTGGCGGCTCCACCGTATATACTGTCAGCGTCTGCTTCGCCTTCCAAGTTATACATGTCCTCAGCTCGTAGTCGGTATGCGTCAATCAGCAACCCATAAACATCCTTCTCCGACCGACCATGAAGCCACGTGCCGTTGTCAAGGCGCGTGAAGGGGCTGGCGACGCCTCCTTCCAATCCCTTCGGCGGTGATAAATTTGTCGTTCTACACCCATCTTGAATGGATGTAGTGGCCTCGGCCCTTTTGCCGCACACCTTCTTGTGGGCCTTCCAGTCGGCCTTTTGGCACTCCCTGGAGCAGTATGGCGTGGTGGAACATTTCTCACACCTCTTCAGGTCGACTTCGGGGGCCGACTTTTTGCAGTTGTTGCACGCAAGGCCCATGACGGCTTGAGGTCAATAACAGAAGTCCTCGAAAGTTACTGTGCAAAAGGCGTGGACCGTTTGAAGGCTTCGTCAATGCCTCTTGCCGGTGGATGAGAAAGGCAGGTTTGCCAGTGGCTGGGTGTTGCGGGGTAAAACATACCGAGCCCACGTTCAGCGAGGGCCGAGACATTTGCCCCACACGTCACTCCCAGCCCAGTCCAACAGATCACCAACGTGGAATCCTACCTGGGTTCTTTGACTCTGCAGGCTAATTATACTCTCGTTCCATTCCTCAGCGCACTGGCCGTCCCTATAGGGGACCGGTCTGCTGTACTTTTAATGCTAATCCCTTCACTAGCTGCTGGTTTGCTTGTTGCCTTTTCCCAACATGTAGCGGCATGACATTGCTACTTGCGAAGGCTCCTGAGGAGGGATACTCTAGCAAATCGCGGCAGAAAGTCTCACCATCTATGCACATCTATGCATGTCTTACAAGTCCACCTTCGGCTCTCGACCACAGCGCCGCCCATCGCACATATATCTACACTACATCTTCGAACTCCCATTTCGGGCTTGCAACCGCCCATCTACCTGCCCATCTTCGTTCCTCAAGGCCTTTTTGCGCAACCCGCGACCGGGTTGCCTTCCCCTGTGAGGAACGAAAGGACTATGCCCCGGGTGCCCCGGGTTTTTCACCCCCAGAATCCGTCGCTTCCCATTGGCCCGGCCCGGGATCTGGCTGCCAGGATTTGCAAAGCCCCCCGTGATTGGTAGGGCCTGTCGCCCGCGGAGCCTGCCTGCCATCGGATCGGACTTCTTACCGACATGCCATCGCCAATCTCCGTCTCTCTGCGGACAGTTTCTTTTGCAATTCTTGCTCCTCAGGTAAATTCTCATCAATTGACTGATGCCAAAGACGGACCCAGTCGACACAATTATTGACACGTTTTCTATCGCCGCCGGCCTTATCCTTGCTCCCGCGACGGTGTCACGTCCAACTTCGCGTTTCTCGACACGATCTGGTCTTGCGCCGCATCAACCCCACCCAGCCAGGACAATGCTTCCTGAACAGTCCTTCTGCTCAGGGCCTCCAGCCTGGACTGCGCTGCGTTCATTTCCTCGGGTACCCGATTGCCCACCAGGTCTCTCTCCCGCACCTTGGATACGAGCATGATGCCGTCCAACGTCGGGCACCGCGACAACTGCACGTACAGGCTGTACGGGTCACACTGCGAGGGTACCGCCCTTCCGCCGACGTTTGTCGTCCTCGTGCCCCGCAACTCCAGCGCTACCCGCTCGATTGTCCCGCCCTGCACCTTATAGTCGGTGCACGCAAAAGCCGCCGCGCATGGCAGCCCTTTCCTGGTGGCGTCGTTCTCCTGCCACGGCCTCTTCCGCTGGCACTGGATCTTGACGCTCATGGGCGTCAACAGTATCGTGCCTGGTGGCATGCTGACGAAATGGAACTCTTTGGTTGTCCCCGACTCCAGTATTATCCCCGCCGGCGGCCCGAAATGGATCGTCACGCCAGCCGAGACCCGATATCCTGGGTACGCCCGGTTGACAATGACTTCCGCTGCCGTGTATCCCGCACCATTGACCAGCTTCAATCCTTGATGCGTATTATGGTTCACAACGACCGGCATCCCCGGCACAAACATGAAGACGGCTGGAACCGGAATCGCGCTATCGTCGCCCTGGTTCAGCATCATGATGGCCTCTTCCTCCCTCGGCACACCATCCTGCCACTTGTGCTCGGAGATGAAGATGCGCATCATTGACCGGTGCTGAATCTGGAACGACAAGCTCGCCTCCATGTTGAGGTTCCAACGGTTCCTGTTCAGCGGCGTCACCACCGTGATGCCCGTTTCCCACGGGATTCACCTCCCCTCCTGGTAGCACCTCGAGTTGAGGAGCTCCAAATCGGAATGGTCCTGTTCACCCCGCCGGATTCGCGTCAGCAGCCTCTGCAGCTCTGGGTCTCCCGCGGCGCGCATTTGCTCGTCCAGCATGACGACCGTCGTGAACCTCTTCCACAGCGCGTGCGCCTTGTCGTGCTGGTGGCGTTGCTCGGCCCTGAACGTGTTGTCCTCGTCCCACGATACGGCCGCGCTGGGCAGGAGGATTGACCTTTCTTGCACTGGCCGGAACTGGTGGAAGTCTCCGCAAAAAAGAACGACGGGGATACCTCCAAACTCTTGCTGTGATCCGCGAAGGCGGCAGAGCTGCTCATTTACTGCATACAGCGTCCTCGCTCCGAGCATGCTCACCTCGTCGATGACAAGCACGTCCTTCTCCTGCCAGTCCATCCTGGACTGGCCATGGATGAACCGGCCCGCCTGCTTTGACAGTCGTACCCCGTCGAAGTCTTTCGCCGTGTTGGTGCCCGGCCCTTGGTCCTTGGTGAACCCGCACGCGGAGTGAATGGTGATGCCGTTGACCCTCGCTGCGGCAGTCCCCGACGTCGCCGTGATCAGCAGGCGACTCGAGATGCCCCTCGCAGCGAAAAGCTCCACGAGCGCTTCGATCACTCGCGACTTGCCGGCCCCGCCCTCGCCACCGACGAACTGACAGAGCTGACTAACGTCGCCCCGACCCATTTCCCTCATCGAGTCCAAGTGGCGGCAGATTATCAACAAGGCAACGGCCTGTTTCTTATTCAGCGTCAGTCGTGCTGCCACACCTTTTCCAGCCTCGAGGAAAGAGGTTGACGGGCCAAAGCGGACGTCCACACAGGCCGTGCCTGTGTCGCCTGCCGTCTCGTCGGCATCCGCATGTGTCATGTCGATGTCTTCCTCCCCGAAACCAGTGAGCACGCTCTGGGCCGCTGCGCTGCGATCAGTCCCGTGGGTATCGCCCATGCTTTGGATGCCCTGGATCCTCTTCACCCTCTCTCTAGAGGCGGATATCTGCTGCGATTTGATGGCCCTGACCTGATCCTGCGGCGGTACTGTGGCTCCAGAACAGGATCGCCCCGGCATCACTATCCGCCGTTCACCACGTTCAACAGCTGCGGCGGCCTGGAGCTCGGCTGTCGAGGATAGGGCTGACTGCTGGAAGCGGCAGAGCTGCTCCATCATTGCGCTGAGTTCCCGTGACCCCGCCGTGATCTGGTTCGCGCCGGCCGCGCTTCGAACGACGTCGATAAGACGGGTTGCGCTTCCCACGTTATCAGATTGATACACCGCTGCGGCCTCTTCATCCACCTGGCCCGCTCCCGCCTCCTCCGCACGTGGGCCTGTGCCATCCCCCTCGCCCGCCGTGGCCTCCCATTGCTTGGCATCGCGCTTGGCGTCTTCCACAGATCGTCGAAGTAGTTGAATGTTGTCGACGAGGCACGAGATTCTCGGGTTTAGCACATCCCGGGCCGCCGTCCATATTTCGTTGATGTCGCCTTCCTCTTCGCCCAAGAACTCCTCCCACGGCACAAAGAGGGCGAGATGTTGCACCGCTGCTCTGCAGGACAAGGGTTAGCCGCACAGACAGCTTCTACCAGGGTGGCGCCGGGCATACCTCCGATGGGCCGACTCATCGTCATCTTGGCCAAAGTCCTTGCTTAAGTACCCATCAAGGCAGACGACGGCATGCTTTCCCGGCCGTCTTAGCACCTGCACCCAGTCTTTCCCAGTCGCCCATCCGTTCTCGAACGGCACCTCCCCCCACGTGCCAGGGCTCCCGTCTTTGCCAACAGGTTGAAGCCTAACAAGCGAAACATAGTCGTACAGGCATAGCCCTCGCAGGACGTCTCCACGGTGGTGATAGGTCTCAGCGAAGCTGATTCTCTGCCCTGCCTCTTCCACGACGATCGACTCATCTGCGGAAGCGTCCGCCATCGCCGTGCCACTCTCTTGTCGGAGATGTCGCCAGCGTCGGAAGACATGCCAGTAGAGCACAGATACGTTCAGGTACGCCCATGCGCTGGCGTTTGTGAATTCGCTCGTGTATCCGAGGAGATGGGCAACCACCTCAACTTGCGACAGGGGCCGCTCCGTGAAGATACGATTGGCCACTCTCATGAGGAACTGCCGTGTCTTGTTTTTGGTACCGTCGTCGTCCTCATTGCCGGCTCCGGCTCCGCGTTCAGCATTTCCCCCCGCGACCTGCTGGCCGGCTGTTGAGATAACAGGCAACAGCTCGGCGGCCGCAGCCACACGCTTCCACGTCGGGTCCTCTACCTTGGTCGCGTAATTCGTGACATAGTACACCAACGCCATGGTTTTCCGCTGCGTCGCTATGAAGGAGATGTCGTGGTTGTGCCGCAGCCCTACGGCCATGGCCTTGTTCCACCGATTCACCATGGGGTGCGTCCTGCGAATCTGCAGCACGTCATCCGCCGTGAACGACGTGTTCTCGACCAATCTCCATGGCGCCTTGAACCGACAGTGGCCGCCCTTACGTTTCTTGTCGCCGAGAGAGTACTTCACGCACGTCGGGCTATGCGTGTGGATCTGCGTCGCTCCGGCGCAGAAGTTGGCTTCTTCGTCAAATGCGGCCGAGAACTGCTCGGAATTGTCCACCAGGGACGAAATATCGGATGTCACCGAGCGCTCTGCTTGCACGGCACATGACCCTTCCTGATCTAGATCCTGACTACCAAGTCAGCCCCCTCCCTATTGCCGACCGGACGGGGGCGGGCCTGCACGGCCAAGGAGTGCTACCCACCTCGCAGAAGACACTGTCGATGTATTGGGCGATTCGCTCCCGATACGCCGCTTGATCGTCGCCGCCGATATCGGCAAGCATGGAACTCAGGTGCGCGTTTCCATGCAACCAGAGCAGCCCATGGACATGAAGCGCCCCTCGTTCATTGGTTTCCACGGCACCATAGTACTGGCTGATGCGCCCGAACACCGACTCTCCTCCTACCGTCACATAGTGCTCAAAGAAGAGCGTCATCTCTCTATGGAAAAATATCGCCGAGCTCTTTGGATCCGAGATTGACAACCGCATGCGCTTGAAGGACATGTCAAGGCTTCGTAAGAATTCCTCGGCTGACTCGGGATCGCGAGTGCGGTGCGCTGCGAGCCGGAGCTTCACCGGGTTCGTAATGTCGTTTGGGTTGATTGTGAACCATATGGCAGGCACGCCATAGCGAACGATAAGAGCCTGGATCTTGTGCCGCATGCTCAGGCGGAGCTCCCTCGACATGGGCTGCCGGTAGCCATACAGCGAAAGGCTCCTGAGGAGCTCCTTCACGCCCTCGTCGGTTGTTCTGCCTGAGCGCTCCAGCTCCCCCCTAGCTGATGCCAACCTGTCTGCAGTCAGCGACCGCACCATGCGCTCGACCTTCCGGAAGTTCTTCCTAGTCACGCTCAGCATGCTGACCCGGCGGTTCCTCGACCGCACGCCCATGTTGAACACGAGAAAGGCGAAAATATGGTGCGTCGCGAATCGGCCGCCATGGCGTCGCAGCACAATGTCAGCCCATGTCCGCAGGCTCATGTTTCGAGATGACAAGAGATCCCGCGCCAACGCCTCTGCTCCACCCATGCCAGCGGTCCCCCTTCCTGGCTCCAAGGTGGCTTCTTCGGCCGACCGTGGCCCCCCCATTCCGAACGGTAGTAGGGTCGGAAACGTTTTTGCGAAGAATGAGGCGTCGAACGAGTCAGCGAACTCGTCGCCTCGAGTAACACGAATGTACGGCTCCACGCCATCAACTGTGCCTCGCCCTCGTTCTGTCGCGGAGGCAACCCGCGTTCTCGGGCCTCTATTGCCATCATCAGCACCTTCGCCAACGGCATCGCATGCGAACCGCAATTTGTCCACATCTGCAACGTCCGGCGGTCCGTCGAGCGCGAACATTCCACTCGACGTCACCTCGTTGATCGGATTGATCGGATTAATCGTCTCGTCAGCCTCGGCGGTGCTCTCAACTCGAGACTCGTCCGCCCCATTCTCCCCGGATCCTCCATGTTCGCATCTAGGCGGCTCCTCTCCCTGCCTAAGAGCGGTTAGGATGTCCTCGATCTCCACCGAGCCCTCGCCGTCCATGGCCCGCTCCGTTGGCGGCACAACATGGGCCGTCCGCGTTTTCTCCCATGCAGATGGCTCGTTCCGCTCCATGCGATCGTACACCAGCGATGGCACCCCGTGTGCCGGGGCTCCCCAACTGTCCATCTCTGCCACATCAATCTCAATCTCAGCATAGTGCGGGTTGTTCTCCTTCAGCCAGACAAGCGCCCTCTCAACAACTCGCCGCCTCACCGATAGGAGACTCGAAAGATCGCTCGGCCCTGGCTTCTCCACGCCCTGCCACGAGACGTGAATCTCGTCCATGACTCGCACAAGCGGATGGGGGAGTACTTTCGTCGCTAGTTCCTCCACGTTGTTCGGGAACACGGTGATGTGGCCCTTGATGTGCCTCGGATACCTCGCACTCTGCTTCTGGCCACCCGGAATGCTGTGGCTCGCCACAAACCCGTAACACGAGTTCGGCGAGATGAGCTTCTCTTCGACTGGTGTCAGACCCTTGAGCTCCTCGGGAAACATGTGTTCACAACCTAGGCGGCCGTGGAGTTGGGCCGCTCGCGACAGTGCCCCACGCGCCAGGCAACGTACACACTCCGCGCAGACTGAGACGGACTCTCCCTCGGGGAAACAGCTCCGGCACGAGAAAGGGGTGCGGTTGCCTTTTGGGACGCAGCTCGACAGCCATTGGTCCCACGCCACTTCTCTCAACTCTTTCCCCGTACGCTTGCAATAGCACAGCATGCACGTCCGTATCGGCAGGGTGCTCGCATCGTGGAAGGCCTGATAAAAATCTCGCACCGTCGACACCTTTCTCTCGTGCGGTATTGGCGCGCACCAAGACTGCTCGCTGGACAGACTCCGCTTCGCTGCAAATTCCTCCTCCAAAACCCCCAAGGCGCTGGCCAAGTCTTCCGCTGGCAATTCTCGCCTCCTACCCCTCCGCCCCGCGGTTCGACCTCGCTTCGTAGGAGCCTGCTCTCTCCTCGAATGCCGTTTTCTCTTCGTCTGGGACCTGAGAAATGTCGTTTCCGCAGCCTCGACTCGCCCCAGCTGACCTGCTCCTTCAGGACCAGGACCAGCATGCTGCGGCCGTGCCAAGGACCGCCCTGTTATGTCTAAATCCCCTGCCGCACCTGCACCCTCCAACACTCCGGCGTAGATGGCTGGCGTGCGGCAACGGCTATCTTCCCGAGCCCGACGCCTTGACCTGTGTGCAGGCCTTCCCCCAAGGCATTCCTTTGGAAGGGCCGTAACGACGGCGTCCCCGTCCTGTTGCGTTCCGTGACTGCCGTTGGGCAAACAGTGCCCATGGAACAGCAGAGGATCGCCGGGTGCTGCCCGTGGTGCGTTATTTCCTACCAGAATCCGTGGCGCTGAAGCCGTGTCCATGTTCCCACCACATGCCGCACCTTCGCTAGCCCCGGGTTCACCATCGGCTGCCATAGCTCCCTCAGGCAGAAAGTGTCGGTGAAATAGTGGGCGATCGGGATTCGCCGTCTCCGGCATGACGCGATCCCTGGGCAACAGCGGCTGCCATGTCGATGTCTCTGCTACACGAAATGTCTCTGCACTTTGACGCTCTCCATTCTCTGGCCGGTTCGATGGCTGGTGTTGCCAGGAGCCTCCACCGCCGTCCGAGCCGCGAGACCTTTCACGCCTCCTTGGCCGCCGACCACCACGACCACCACGACCACCTCGCACCGGTCTTTTGGGCAAGGACCTTACAATTGCTTCCGCATGCTGTCTCCATACGGCCTGTCCTGCCGCAGACTGCTTGGGCTCGATGCGACGGAAGGTTGATCTGTTTCGCGACAAACGTTCCGACGCATTGTCAAAAATGTCCCGCTCCTTTTCTGCTGCTGCTACCACGTCTACATCGCCTCCGGTTGTCTCGCCCCCCAAAACTCTCGTCCCCCCGGCCACGCCACCATCCGCTCGCCCACTCGCAACTGGCAACGAGCGTGCTCCCGCACGGGCAACCGCCCCAGGCGGCCATACTGCAGCGCCATCCATCATGCGGCGTCCGGCTCGATGCCAATGGTTTCAGGCTAGAATGCAGATTGGAAAGCGCCTGCCATGCCATTACTACCTCCAGTAGGACAACTCGTTTCAAGTTGAAGAGTATGTTCCTCGACTCGGCATACGTTCCAACGTATCCCGAACGATCCGACAGGAGTCCCTAATGCACCCGCTCTACCCCACCCCTTCATCCAAGTCCATGGTTGCCGCCTCGACGAGTCCACGTTTGCCTCAAGAGATGAGACCACGTTCCAACGAACTGCCATGCGGCTGGCATGTCGATGGGAGCAAGGCTCCGAGGAGGCCCGGAGGAAGTCCGTCAGATCACGGAAGAAACCAGTGTATTAAGAGAAGCATCGGCATTCAACTACAATTGGACGGAACCGGGGATCAAACAAGTGTATCAGCTGCCCTGCTTCACCACTCTCCGTTTCATTGTGCTTGTGCTACTTACACAAACACACAGACCGTCCAGCCAATTATACGAATATACCATGTCTTCTTCGCCCATCCCTCATACTCATGAGTCGCCACACCTTCGACGGCCGCTGGACAGCCCAAGAGGCACCGGCGGCGACATGTCGATGATGTTTTTTGTTCAGCCAGACTGCCCTTCCAGATTCGCTCACCAGGACGACCATCGCGTCAAGGGCCTCAACGCCGAGACGATAGCCCGCATCCTTTTGCCTCCGCCCTCGTGGTTGCTGTCCGCCGATTATGCGCCCCTCCGATCGGACGCTGGCGACGCGCCGATACCGCTATTCTTCAGTCTCAACCTCTCCATCTACGGCCAATCTATTGTCGCTTCCGAATGGACCGAGGAGTGGTTCTTCATGAATGGCCGCGTCCACCCCTACGCTCTTGCCTGGGAAGTTGCCCAGCACGACGGTCTGGAGTCTGACACGGGCGGCACTCTTCTCTACACGATGCCCGCCCTCATCGTTCGCGACCAGGGCTACCAGCCGTAAGGCACAAGTTTTACCCTCGCGTGCAGCTGCCTTCAACAAGCTTCGCTGATACGCACCTACAGAATCCTTCCCAGGCTCCTTGCCTCTAGTAGCAACTTCCCGTGTGTCCCGCCGGTCGTCTCCTTCACCGGGCCCGTAGTTGGCTCTGGGCAGTCCTTGCTACGACAAGGCCTTCTCCCCGGCCTGGACGCCACTCAGCTGAAATGCTGCGGCTTTGTCCAGCTCTCCTCCTACCTTACTCCAGGGAACCTCGACAAGACTCCTTTCAAAGGCTTCCACCCTTTCCAAGTCTTTGTCATCTTCCCCATCCACGCGAACCCCTGGACCATCCTATGCAAGAAGATGGCCGAAAGGCGGGACTCTCACTTTCAGACTAACATCCACTTCACTTGCACAGGCAAAGTCGCTGGCCTCCTCGACCATCGCCTCATGGTCCAACCGCCTGGCTCCGACCGAGACTACGTCTTCATTGTCGTCCCAGATTCTTGGACCTTTCTCGACAAGGCCACCACAGCAACCACGTTGGCCTTGCCTCCCGCGACGCCAGCAAAGGTACCAACGTCCTCGGCGTCAGCGGCTTTCCAGAGTATGCGCGCTGCATCTTACTCTGTAGCTACACCGCGCTCGTTCCCACCAAGCCCTCCGCCTTCGGCTTCAACGTCGGCTTCCGCCGACCCCGTCACACCGCCATCGAAGCGTTCATGTCCTGACCCGGCCGACACGCCGACGAAAAAGCCCCGTGCCCTGCATCTGGCCGCGAATCCTCCCACACTGGCCGACACGCGAGGCTCTGCTGCACGACCGCACGCTGTGACAGCGGCAGCCACATCTTCAGAGCCGGATCGTGATAGCAACAGCCACGCCTCGGGGGACACTTCCGATGCCGCACTGGATTCAATTGTCGCCCACACATCAGACTCGCCAGCCCGCCCACATCGCAACCGTCACCCAAGCAAGAAACTCATGGAAGCGGAATGACTGTAGCCACCAGATAAAAATGTTCTCCTGCAACTCTCGTCACATATAACAGAACTCAATGCCTTACAGTGCCCATTTGCCTTTCACCAGAACCGTGCTCCTTGCTATTATACTGCAACACTCTATCCGCCGCTGCCGGCGTCGTCCTTCTGTCCTCCAATTCTCAGAAACGTCGCTTTTGTTGCCTGTCCCTCGGCACACATGCCTTCTTGTGAATCTTCCAGTCCTCCTTCTGGTGTTCTTTACCACAGTAGGCCACCGCATGGCACCCATCGCATCGCTTCACTCCCACGGTCGTTCCGCATATTTTGCATATCGGGACTTCCACGCAAACGCTGCGACCCGGCGGTCCATTCCTGGTATCCTTCTCCTGCCGCATTTCTTGCATCAGTAGTTGCATTTCCTGCATCGCTTCCGTCTCGCACTACGTTCCTCCACACAAGGCAGTGACCCAAACCACAACGGGAGGCTGTGCTCCGTGCAGGATGGACATTGGGCTTTGTAAAACATCCGTTGCAAGTCGCCCGCAGCATTCACACGACACCCCCGCCGCCACGCGACATGCTGGCGCATACTCCCTCATGAGCGGTATCATGGCCTCCACGAATCGCTGGTCGTATTCCGCATCCCACCCGGCGCGGTTTGCCTCTATGACGAGGCTTCGAGGAATGCTGTGGCGATGTGTAAATTGCGCAGCCCCGACTTGCCAGATGGACTCGACCCGGACTGTGGAGGCTGCCATAAATTCTGTTTTCGAGATGTAACTAATGCTGGTTTGTTATATCTAAGTTAAGATGCGCTCAAGAAGAGACGCCGAGCGCAAACCCCACGTCTTTAATACGCCAACCAGTTTTCCGTGCATCGTTTTTATCTCTTTGCATCCCGTTCATTGCTATTACTCCTTGCTCCTTCCCACAAGTTGTATGGCATGCCGGCGCTCACTCATGCCCGGGAGACCCCAGTATCGCACATCAAGCCTACCTGGCACCCACCGGACCGGACTTCTAGCCGAGATGCGATCGAGTCATCGACGATCTCCGTTTCTGCGCGGAGACCATATTTTACATGACACCGTAGCAAACAGATTCCCTCACAACTCCTGCTCCTAACATAATCCCAATCATTTGAATGATGCCAAAAATGAACCGACTTCATCAAATTGTTTGACAGATTTGGCAGAGGGACCGACCACGGAGCCCCGCCAAATACAGGGCACGCCGCCGCAGAAGTGTCGGTCAGCCCAACAACATCACTGAACCTTCCAAATAAAACCATTCACACTCTCGCTCTCACTCTCGATCGTTTTCATTTTTCGATCATGACCACTCCAACCTCAAGCTTTCGTTCCTCAAGGCTCTTTGCGCAACCCCAGACTGGGTTGCCTCCCCTGTCCCAGAATGAGGGATTGGTGCTGACAGGGATACACAAAAGTTTCCACAGATCTGATTGGTCCAGATTTTGTATGGGCTGTTGCAAAACGAGGAGCAACTGGACGATATTGAACAATTGAACAGACGTCCAGTAGGTGCCCTCAAGCCTACTTCGTTGATCATATCTTTGTTATTTCTCCATTGGAAACTTTTGAGGGGTTGGCCGGCTCCCATGATGAGCTCGCCAGCTCGCGTGGGGACGTTGGTGGGGCCGCGACGCGGCTCGGTGACGCCGGTGGGGCGTCGAACCATGAAACGGAAGCTGGACGACAGCGCGAAAGAGCCGAATAAAAGCAGTCGGTACAGCACGAGGGCGACAACGCAGGCAGCGGCCGCGGTGGTCAATCGCGGCCCCGTGGCGGATCAGAGAAATAACACCAACCACGAGGAAGCGACGACGCTGCAGTCGGCACTGGAGTTGCTCGGTGCGTACCGCACCGTGGTCCAAGAGCTAAGAGAAGCCATCAAAGGCCAGAACGAGACCGTCCGCGCGCAGCAAGAAGCGATCCGCGAGTTGAAAGAGGCGGCTGAGGAGCAGCACACTTTGATTCGTGATTTGACCCAACAACTACAAAATAACCAAAAACAGACAGCCGACGACCTGAAGCGCGTTCATCAGCAACTTGAAGCCATCACGAAGACCAACAGGATATCCACGGGGGCGTTTTGGTGGCTGATTCAGCGGCTGAGCGCCACAACACCGCAATTTAGCGTCCGTGCCCTCAGCGGCTTCCAATATCCACCCTTCTCCACGGTCGGCCGCCGGCCGACCGACCGACCCAAATCCCGCTGCTTGGAGTGCTGCCACGGCAGCACGAGCTCGTTCACTTGCAGGGGCCCAAGGGGATCCAAAATGACGTGTTTCTACTTCTTTGATCGTCCAATCTGCGCCTTCCTATTCGCCCGAAGCTGTTTACAAAATAAGTCAAGCGAGCACCCGGTTTGTTGCTGTTGTAAATTGACCATGTGCATCGCTGCCTCTTCACTACACCTGTGAGCCTTCGCAACTTTGCGAATCTCCCTAATGACCTCGAGCCGCAACGAATACCATTGCAATTCATTTTGCCGGCCGGCGCGCCACCGGCTGCCCCATCTGCTGTCGAGGTCGGCAACGGCTGGCCCGCCGCGAAGGCCATCCGTCCACTCACTCCAGAGTGCCTCGACAGTCTTTACTGCTCGGCACATTTGATACTGTGGCGGAGGCTCTGGCTTAACTATTATCGTATCTGTCGCTCTGGGGCTCGTGGCACGGCTGTCGATGATGCCCGATTGCGTCGAGATAGATCGGCTTCCGTCCCCTGACCCAACTTGTCCAACAGCGTCCACCGCTACCGCGGCCGTGGTGGCAGGAGTAGGAGTCGCGGCTGCAAGTTGTAAATTGAAACCGCTGGAAAAGAGTGACGATTGGGCTACTGCAAGACGTTCTTCTGTAGCTCGGAGCTGCTCCGTCAGCTCTGTCCTAAGCTGGGAAGTCCTGGCTTCGTTCCGCGCGTCGACGGATTGAAGGTAGTCCGCAAGGACCGGCATCGCTTGGACTAGAACGGCTAGCTGGCTCGGCCGCTCCTCTTCGAGGATGAAGTCCGATAGCTGCTGGGCGAACGACGCGTAAGCCGGATGCCGGAAGACAGGGTGGTTCCACACAGGGCTGCCGGGGTATTTCTTCATCAAAATAACCGAATCCTGCAACACAACCTCGCGCAGATAGAAAAGAAGGTTTGTCGAGCCCATCGCCGCCAAGTCGTTCTCCTGCTCGGTTCCCGGGCCGAAACGGCCGCGCCAACGGTCCAGCTCAGGCCAGATCATCGAAAGGAGGACCTCCGGAGGCGTCACACCGGCACGGCGTATCTCGAAGCATCCGATCTGCGGCGGGTGGCCGGCCATCGTTCGCATGAACTTGCGAGGCAGCGAGTTCAAATAGCAGCCGACCATCTGCTCTTGATTCCAACGACCAGCCCGGCGGATCTGATCCTCACTGATACCCTTCAGTTCCGCCGTCCTCGCCCCCGAGCTACGGCCGACGTGTGTCTTCTTCTGCGACGTGACCCCAGCGTAAGCGAAAGCTTTGACAACCCAGTCGCGCTGTGAGTTGTACGAGAAGGCCGCCGTTCGGTCAGTGCCGTTACCCTTGATAAGGCGGATATCGTACCACGCGGAGCGCCGGCTGAAATCGGGAAATGGCTCACTACCGAGATCCCAACGACACAGGAGGTAAAACGAGAGGCCACCCAAGATGCAGATAAGCGGGTTCCTATTCCGATACGCACCGGCAGTCTCGAGGCGCCCGTGCTGGTTCTGCTTGCCGGCTCGCGTCGTGAAGATGAGCGGCATGCAGCGGGTCGAACCCTCACCAGCAAACTCGAACGTGAAGAGGTCTGAGATCTCCGCGACCCGACGATCGCCGCCGCGGGTGAGGAGATAATGGCCGAAGAGGAGATCCACGAGGGTCCGAAAATGGCACTCAGTCGATGTCGCGCTGTGGACCCAGAGCTCATGGCATACACGCTCAAATTCGGACTCCGAGTAGCCATCGAGAAGCGTATCGCGGCCTTTATCGGCATAATTCTCCTTGTCCCGCTGGGCATCCCGACGTTGTAGGGACTTGAGGTACTCTCGTACGTTGTCTTCGCGAGGCGACGGGTGCGTATTCATTCCAAGGGCCTTTTGTGTCCGGTAAAGATCCGTAATTGCGGTAACATATGTTCGGACGGACCGCCAGGCCAGCCGAGTCTCGTCCTGCGGGGTGCCGGCGGCGGCTTTGCGACTCCGTACCCTCAAGGGCCGGCCTGCTACCTCGTCGACGAGGAAGAGGAGAAGCTTCTCCTCCGTAACCGTAGCGCCGTCGCTGTACTGTTTGCGTTGGCAAAATTGATCGAACTCCTCTTGTTTCGGCCCGTACGCCGAGGTCGTAGTTTTTGGTCGGGACTGGTGGATCGTCGAGAGAATCGTCTGAGCGTTAGCACGCAGCTCCGCTTCGTTCATCGCGTTCTGTCGCATGCGCTGGGCAACTCGCATGGTGGTCGGCTTTGCACGCCCCTCTGGCCCAGCCCCTGGCCATGCCCCTTTTGGTGCCCCTGCGAGCCTCGCCTTTCGCCCCGCTTTCACCTTCGCCTTCCGTGGGTTTGACGTCCGGGCCATGTCTCGTGGTGGTTCGTGAGGAGAGCGAGTGAAACAGCCCTACGACACGGCCGGGTCAGAGACGGGGTGATGCGCGCGGCTGCGGGCCACGGATTCTGTCCCCAGCGACAGCGCCATCCGCGCCGTCCAGCTGGCCAGTCGCCCAAAATGCTCGGGGCAGGGCGCTGAAGCGACCATGAATAGCGGCGTCCACATGGAATCAGCGACGCAATCAGCGGGGGGTAGCGATATCTGCGAATATCCACGGCCACCGGCGTGACGAGGGGGCCCGATATCCGCAGATACGATTGGCCAGCAGCGCTCGCTGATTCTCAGCTCGCCCCACCCGCCGGATCAGCGGCGCTCAGCGGGCCCTCGGATACCAGCTGATCTCTTGACGTGCGTAGCATGCATCTCTGATCGGCGTCCTGCAGCTACGGATCTGTTCTGTCCTGCTTGTATGCACATATTTAACCGCAGCGGCAGTTAGCAATCGTCATTGGCGCGCTAATCCAGCACCCTGCACCTGGTAGCCAGGACGGCGCGGACGGCACCCTAGGCAGGTGACGTCAATGGCTCCTTGACCATCCTTCTGATCCGCGGTCATGTGTGGACTGGTGGTTGGGATCCCAGGACAACGCGGCGACTATTTAACGGTGAAGTGGCCGAAAGCTTTGTATCAGTGCCGAAGCTCAGCGACGAATTGATCTCTGTCGAAGATTGACTTGGCAACCCTGAGATCTGCGCAAGGCTGGAATATCTCGAAGTTTCTGGTGAGCATAAGCCATCTAATAACAAAGAGAAACACTTGTGCTTCGCCAGACAGGCCGACGCATGCGGGGCGTTTCTGCGCCCGCCGTCGTGATAATACGTTCATGTGTTTTCAATCTGCAAGCGAGAAATGGACGTCTGGTATTGGCCCTTTTGCACGCTCATCCCCACGCCTTAAACCTTCCCGTTCAGTAAATCCTCGAATGGAATCAGGCTGAAAGTCCATGTTGACCTGTTTCCAGCTATGACGGACGCCATAATCTGGCTCTCTTGCGTAGTCATCAGCGCGTGGGTTATAGCCTACGTTTACAGTCTCGTGGATCCGCCGTTTGTGGATGTGGATGACATGCTCGTTGGAGCCTTACCTACAGTTAAACGTAAGTTCGACATAGAGTCTATTGCCTCGCATATTCCCTCAAGTCTAAGTTTAATATACGTTGCGCAGGGCGCAATGTGTCTAGGAAATAAAGTCGCGTTCAGTAGACATGGATGGGTCCAAGAGTCATCCGGATGATCCCATTCGCGTACGCCGGGATCCGAGAGTAGCAAAGTCTCGTTGTTGTTGTCGGTAAGGGGGAGACTTGGCGAAGCGGCCCTATGTCCTGCGGTTGACGAAGTCGGATCGGATCGGATCGTGTCACACATCCAGCAAGCACACAGTGGCTCCAGTTGCCTAGTGGGCAGCTGCTACTGCCTAAACCCTAACCCTTATCCAATCTACGAGGGGGCCTAATGAGTCGAGCCCCCCGTCTGGTTCCACCAAGACGGGGGGCACGCTGACCAGGAAAAGGCACGACATGCAACACCTGGTAGGAGGCATGTGTAGGTCCATACTCATGCTGTGTCCTCCCGTTGAGAACGAATACTTGGCCGCATCAATCGCTTCCCGTTATTCACTGTCTGTTTCGTCGTGTTTGTGCTCCTTACAAGGCACAACAGCGCGTCGTGTCCACGCTCACGTCATTCCAGATCTCAGGGGATGCAAGATCGTCGAAGAAAGGCCAACAGCGACGATCGGGGAATCAGAATGGGTTGCGTTGTCAGCAGATAATTTGACAAAGTGCCTGCACTCTAACAATTAGCTTGTTTTGCCCAGGTCCTCCATAGTTGCAGAGGCTAACCTTCTCCGGGGCCGGCATTGCCAAAGCCAAGGAACTCGACGACAAGTGGTAACAA